TTGGTCAAGGAGTCACGTGAAGTATGAAAGTATTCAAATGCCAAAAATTTGTTCTGCGTCATATTTTTCATTTTTTCATGTGTGATGTTGATATCAAAACATATCTAAATTGCCTAATTGTCGATGATGAGAAAAAAAAACATATTATTTCTAAATTTTTTTAACTCAAAAATTATTCTTCACTTCCCAAATTTTAATTTTTTCATATTTATCACACGCCAAAATGATCAATTCTTGCTTCTTAGATTTTCATACATAAATTCTAAACTCTACAAAATTCACGAAAATTCTTCGGTTTCCCAAATAATTCGAGAAAAATCTNATCGAATTATAGTCAAAAAGTCCTCAACAATTTTTCATGGGTTACGGTAACTACGGTCTGAGAAGTAATTACTACAATGGAATGTAGTCATTACAACTATTTTATAGTTCTCCTCACGATAGATTTGTCGTGGTTACTTTTGAACTTTGGTTAGTTCAACTGCACATTGATAGAACCGATTAGTTATTGTTAACGAATGGATTTTGGTTGGAGGTTNCGTTCTCTTCATTCTCTTAATTCTCTTTAAATCATTATCAATATTTATAAAACATCTATGAGTATATGAAGTTTAATAAATTCGATTTTTTCATTTTCACAACAAAAAGATAAGCGCGCGAAAGCGCGCGGACAGATCTAGTATTGAAAATAGGGGAGATTCAGACAATTACTGCTCTGAACTCTCAATCAATCGAGAATTTAATTGGATTTAATGTTCATTTTTAAAGATAAATATGAAATGTCAAGTTTCACTTAAATGTTAATGAATGCTCAACATGAAAAATTTCATTTTGTTGAAATTCTAGAATAAATAGAAAAACCCGCGGATGATTTTATCTTAAACTGAATTGAATTTAACAATATTTAACATTCACTGAAAAAAATAATACCCTATGTCAAGGTTCTAAAGGTCTTAAAATAAGATTCTCAAATGTCTTAATTTGAAACCTGAAATTCTTAAGGTATTTATGGCGGGGAGGCCATGCAGGAGGTGATACGGAGGGGAAACTATTGTTCTCTTGCAGGAAACCAATCGCTGAACAAAAAAAAACGATATTTCAATTACAAATTTTCAATCTGTTTCGACCATTTTTGTGTTCGAAATATTTTTTTAATAACTTTTCAATTTTTTCCAACATATTTTAAGTCTTCATAAACTCAAATTGATACTTTTGAAGGCATCAAGTTAAGACTGTCGCACGGAAAAAATATATGTGAGTCAAGTATAAAATACACTTGATTCGAGAATATAATATACTTGATTCAAGTATATTTTATGCTCGAATGCACGGAGAGAAAAATATAATTCTTCTGACTATATTCCATCACCATCGAATTATAGTCAAAAAGTCCTCAACAATTTTTCATGGGTTACGGTAACTACGGTCTGAGAAGTAATTACTACAATGGAATGTAGTCATTACAACTATTTTATAGTTCTCCTCACGATAGATTTGTCGTGGTTACTTTTGAACTTTGGTTAGTTCAACTGCACATTGATAGAACCGATTAGTTATTGTTAACGAATGGATTTTGGTTGGAGGTTAGGGTCTATTCGGTCTCACCAAATGTTCATTCGTTAATAGTTAACGAATGTGTATTTGAGAAGCCATGTTTGACTTGACTTTCGCCATTCAAGTGAACCATTCCTTAACTGTCAACGAATATGCATTTGGTCATATTCAACTCTACCATTCGTTAATAGTTAACAAATCTCGTTTGGAATAAATGAATCATTCTATCAGTGCATTTTGATTTGCAAAAACTACGCTTGTGAAGTTACTATAATGTTATGTGCCGCATACAAAAAAAAATCGTATCGTTCACCAAAATGCCTCAACTATTTTCTCATTGTAAATCGAACTTGAGATTTTTCTCCCAGTGTGGGGGATGGGTAATATAAGGGTAATAGACGGGTCAAAAACTAATTTTCAAAATATAAGTGTCAAAAAGTGGCGATTAACAAATGAGGGTCAAAAACAGAGGGTTTGAATGTAAACTTCCTTTCTATGCTACTGCTAAGTGAGCAAATATTTTGAATGTTTGAAATTTTAAAGCTGAATGATCAGTTGGTAATTGGTGAAATGTGCCATCCATTATTCTTGATCACTGTTTTTAGCCCTTATATTTAGACCCTCATTCCTTGACACCCACTTTTTTACTTTTATATTCTGACCCTTGAAATACCCATCCCCCATTCGAGTATAATAAAATTTACTTGAATCAAGTATATTATATACTCGAATCGAGAATAATATACTTGAATCAAGTAGATTTTATTCTTGATTCAGGTTTACGCATATACTTGATTCTGTATAAAATACACGGAGAAAAATTTTGTAGAAAAATTCTAGTATGAGTACTGAAAAAAATCACAATCCACCGGTTGTGAAAAATTCTAGTGTTGTTAAGGTAAAACTTCTCGGGATTTCTTGTAAAATTTCTGGGGATTTCTGTGAAACTTTCACAGAAATACGGGGAAAAATTCACAGGAAAAATTCACAAATTCATTCCAGTGCCAGCACTGGAATTTTTCCCTGGCCGCCACTTTGCGCATCTTTTACCGCGCTAGCAATATAATTTTTTTGTTAAATTTCCGTGCATACTCAGGTATATTTTTGTCCGTGCGCAACTCAACTTGAAATGATTTCAAATTAAGACTTTTTAAAGTCTCAAATTGAGATCAGCCTCAAACTAAAGTTTGTTTTTTTAGGTGTTCACCGGAATGTATTGCTTTTCTTTTTCAAATTTTCCATCAGTGTAAACAATTTGAAAAAAATTACCAAATTTCATTGACAGTTTTCGTAATAATGCTCAGAATTGAAGATTCAAGAGTATATTTTCTTGAAATTTCAATGGAACTTGATAACAATTTCCGCAAAATCCATAAACTTTAAAAATTAGGATTACTTATCAACGAGGTACATTGAGTGATTGGAACCGGTGATTTTACAAGATTTTAACATTTGAAAAATTTTCATTCCAGATGTAAAATCAATTCTAAAATCAGTGAGTGGTAGACTGAGGGCCAGCGAGCTGACAGCCATCATGGGACCGTCTGGCGCTGGCAAGTCGACGCTCCTGAACATCCTCACTGGATACAAGTGAGTATTTTCAACCTTTAATCTCAATTGATAAAAAAAACTGTCAATCATGAATATTCCCAAGACTTTTTATCGCCGCCTGATTGAGACTCACCCCAGGGACGCCAGGTCCTTATCCGCATGAATCAGTTTTTATAAAAAGAAAAATGTTAATAACACGAACCGATTTCTATTAATTAATCGCTGCAAGTTTCATAATTGCATGTTGCAACCATTAGTTAGTATCAAACAATATTTATTCATATATGATGTCTTTAAACTTTACTCTTCCTTCCATTCGTTCTTCCTTGTGATTTTACAAAATAAATTAGCATGGGACTGTACACTGAGAGAAAAACAAACACGTTGTCAAGTCTTGTTTGGTTCGAATTTGCAAGTCTCAAACATGAATAATTGTTTTCTGCTTTCGATAGCAACGAAATATTTGGTTCAAGAGGCGGACAATTCACACTATAGACGCCCTTTGAGATGAAAATATCTCATAGAGAGGAAAATTTATCAACAAATATTTTATCCCTCAGATACAAGATCGCTATCATATCATTATTATTGTTTCATTTAAGGGTTCATTTGTTGTCTGTGATTATTAGACAGCCGAAACGAAAAACTACTATCCCTTATTTCGCATAAAACAAAGATTTTTCGGGAACAAAATACCTATGGGAGTATCGAATAACGAAGGAGTATGTAGTGCTAGAAATGACATTTCTTGCGTGTACAGAGAATGCCATTTTTTTTTTGAACTACTAAATCTATTTTTGCGACAAAAATTTTTCATTCCAGCGCACTCTCTGCATGTTTGGCACAAAAAAATCCTTGTTTGATAATTTTCAAAAAACTACTTTCTTGCCACAAGTAAGACTTGTTTGAGAACTTTGTAGTTTTTCTCTCAGTGTACGCATTCATTTTTCTTCTTGTGACAAGGGCCAAATTTGTTAAGTGGAACTAGGACAGAAATAAATCGTTAGATCAACGTTTATTATGTTGAAATCGATGCTGTGATGACGTTGGTATTAGTAATTTCTTGTTTCTGGTCTTCTCAAACTAAAAGGATCAATCATTATCGAGAATTCGATTCTCGATTAAACTAGCAAATAAAACATTAGAATGATTTTTTAATAGTAAGTTATTTGATTAATTGGCTGTTATTTACCATCTGGACCGTTCGATTGACTTTAATTTTTTTTAATCAAAATATTTTCAAAATTTCAGTAGTGAAGTGGTCAAACGGTTTAAGTCAATTTAGTCTTTAGTTGAGTTTTCCAGAAATTTTTCCGAATTTAAGGGAGACAGCGAAATTTTGATAATAACCTTTTTTGTAGAGCGAATTGAGTGCTACTAAAAAGGTTATGAGCCAAATTGTGCTATCTCCCTTAGATTTCGAGATATCCGTTGAAAACCGGACAATAGCCAAAATCGACTTACAATAGAAAATAAAACACAAGAATGATTTTTCAATAGTAAACCATTTAATTAATTGGCTGTTATTGATCATCTGGACTGGTCAACTGACTTCTGCGAGTTTTTTTATAAACTCCTCATTCCCCGCAGACGGTTAGAAGAGGCTTAGAAAAGACCCCGGGGGATAAAAATTTGAATTATTAAATTTAGGCAATTGATCATTTCTTTCAAGGCTATCTGTTCTGCCCCATTGGTTCCTCAATGGAATTGAAAAACAAATGTCATGACTTTTTTCATGTTTGAAACTGATGGGACAGAATGAGTCCATTTTTTTAGAGTTTTAAAAGAAGTTCTGATGACGGGGAACAAATTATTCAAATGAAATTCAAACTGTTTATTATGTTAAAATCGATGCTGTGATGACGTTTGCATTAGCAATTTCCTGCTTCTGGTCTTGTCACACTAAAAGAATCAGTTATTATTGAGAAATCGATTCGTTTATAAATTCAATAACAAATAAAACGTAAGAATGATTTTTTAATAATGAATCATTTGATTAGTTGGCTGTTATTGATCGTCTGAGCCATGCAATTGACTTCAACGAATTTTTTATAAACTTTTGATCCCCCCAAATGGTTAGAAAATACTTAGAAATGACTCCAGGAGATCAAAATTTTAATTATTAAATTTCTTCAATTGATAATTTTCTTCGAGGCGATTTATTCTGCCACATTTGTTCCTCAATTCAATTAAAAACAAAAGTATCATCACTTTGTTCATGTTGGAAACTCATGGGAGCGAATGAGTCGATTCTTCTATTTATAGAAATGTTAAAAAGTCGACTCAATCCACTCTCTCATTCATTAAAATTAATGAATATTGATTAATCAGCTAATTAATTTTTAATTCAATATTAACGATGAAAGAACAATTAACTATTCACAATTTAATACATAATTCATTGATTTTTTCGTGTATTTATTTTGCAATTTTTCGTTGATTATAAATTTCCTCATAATTCATTTCTTCCATTAAAAAATCTCTCTTCATTGTAAATTTTAATGTACACATTACGTTAAACCCGTTCACTCCTATCAACCGTCACATATCACATATTGTCCAGTGAGCGATGATTAAACCGGAAGTGACGTCAGGGAACCACAAACACAATACAAAGTTTGTAATAATGATTTTTTGTCAATATTGAGGAAATTTTAATGAGTCTCTTCTCGTGTTTTACTTCTATGTTTCTTCATGAAGGTCATGTAAGAGTAGATGTCCGTAAATTAATTATGGATCTCTATCAACTATTTAGCGTCTCCATATCTATCAGACTTTTCAGATTTGTTTGCTATTGCTTTTGCATTTTTGCTGGCAAATGGGAGCTTTCCCAATTCTGAGTAGAAAATGAAAATCAAAATGAATCTGAGCAGAAAATGAAAATAAACTGATTGGATATTGCAACAATTCCCATTTTTCGTTCCTTATTCATAAAAAAAAGTATTTTTCCTAGATAAATGAGAAAAATTGCATATAAGTAAATGATTTCCATTTCTTCCTATTCTAATTTGTTATTAATACCCGTAAAACCAGATAAGTCAACAAAAACAAAGAGAAATGGCTATATTGCAACAGTTTCCACTTTTCTCTCTTTATTCATTAAAAAAAAGTATTTAGTCCTAGATAAATGAGAAAAATTGCACATATGTAAATGATTCTCTTTTTTTTACATTCGAAATTATTTTTAATACACTTGAAACCATAAAAATCTCCAGAAACAAGTGAAGACAGCCATTGTTTTCTAAATTTCTAAGTATTGCATCATCTCCACTTACCTCTCAAAACTATTAACGTAAGACCCATAAAATTACCCAACAAATGGCATTTACAACTACACTACACCTAGAATATCCAGACGAACTACTTTGGAGGCAGTAATAATCATTAGCGAAAGTCACGAGAGTCAAAATATTTACATGTCCCGGAGCATAAGCTTCAGTAGAAACGGACGACTTGTGGCAGACTCGCGACTAGTTCGTATTCCAGGCGATGGGCTGACCGGGTCATTTACATTGAGCACGTAGAGCCCGGGGTCACGACTCAGTGTCAAGGTGATTACTTGACCATCCACCCAAATACATCTTCAATTGATAAAAAAAAATTGCCTCGTTTTTTTAACAGAAAAATCAGGGTATTTGCGAAAATGACTTGATTTTTCTGCGAATTTGAGAATTGATGGTACACGAAGAGAAATGTTCAATAAAAATTAAGGAACAATTCACGTAATCCGCAATGGGGAATCGTTTTCCGGCAATTTTTGTAGGAATGGAAGAGAAGAAATCCGAAACGTTCAGTGAATTCTCAGGTTCATCACCGAATAAAGTACGAAATTCTCACGTAATTTTTCCGGAAGAAGTAAATCTTACAGAAACTTGCCGACTTATTATGCCTAACATACACACATATTAACATACATTTTGGTGGCATACATACATATGCCAGCTTCAACAATTTTTATGAAGCTGGTTAGTTATTTCTACGTTTCGTTCCGTAAAATTTGTCAATCGTTGGGGAAAAATTACGGAACGACTTGTTGTCCCACAGCGGTGAGTCATCAGACGAGTGGTTAATTTTTACGGAACAAATCGTAGAATTTACGTGGCAATTCGTACAATTTCAATTCGACTCACACTTTTTATTGAATTTTACTTCGCTCGCGGATTACGTTTCAAAACGTAATTTTTACGTTTTTTTTTTTTTGTAATTTTTATTGAATTTTTTTCTCCGTGTAGGGAGGAAAATTGAAGGAACTGTGATTGCAGTTAAGGATGTTTAGCTCAAACCCACATTATTCACCATAATTTTGATATTGTTTCATATGCCGGGTTCATATTTGAGCCACACATTAATAATAATCTTAATCCTTCCATCGGGGCATCCTAGTGAGAAAACATCCCTAAATTTTGGATTCGATGGTAATGGAATATAGTCGGAAGAATCATATTTTTCTCTCAGTGTGGGAGGTTTAAAAAGGAAAAATGAAGAGAAGATAGAATGTCAATTTATGTATGCCTTTCCAAGTCAAGATTTCACGTGGCGTTGAACAGTTATTAAAAGAGAATAGAATATTTATAAGAAGAAAACGAATACAAATAATTGAAAATTTCTGTACGGAACATTGACGCGTCATAAAATTTTTTAATATTCCTAATCATCAGCCATTTTCATCACTAAAATCTGGTGATAGATTCCCAAAAATCATAGATGAGTCCCTGAAAATCAGTGACAGTTTTCATTACTCTGAAAATGAGATATGATCGACCTCAAAATTAGTGGCGATGTCATTGGAAATTAGTGATAATATCACTGAAAATTGATGCACAAATCACTAAATTTTAGAATTGTACACTCATTGAATGTCACAATCGAACTCAAATCGAATCCTTGATAATTGGGGTTAAATTGCTAAAAATCAGTGACATATGTCTGGAAGTTACGGACATGACTCCGAAAATCAAAACTGCTCTTTGTGCGATCATGTCCAATTACTCAAATGTGGAAGGCACTCTTCTCTGCAGGAATTTTCACTTCTACACAAAAAAGTCTTCATGCATTGTTTAATAAAATCTCTCATTTCCGTGATGATCAGCTAGTTAATAAGGATTTTATGTACAATTTGACTGGTCCACCCGTTCCAACAATTTTTGATTCTTCATCAAGACATTCAAATCCATTTTTATTGCATTTTTTATCAGATGAAGGTAGTCCAGAGGTTTTGGAGAATTTCCATTCACGCTGAGAACCGGTTGTGAGCAGAAAATTAGTTCTGTGTAGTTAAAAAAATCTGATAAATTATCAAAATTGAATAGCATAATGTGAGGCATATCGAATATACTCAGGACTTTGACGGCTTTCGTATTTATCGATAGATGTCCCTACAGTCTCTAATGCCCGGTCCCTCTCTGCAGTGTTTTCATGCAGAAAACCGGTTAGGTTAGTCCAGAGATTCAACAGTTGTTGAATTTTACTGCTTTACAGGCACCTTCCAGACCCTTGCAACTTGACATTCAAATTATGCATCAATTCCATTAAAAAAAAATTCCTCTCTGATTGAATATCATCTCCATACACTATTAAAAATTTTTGTCTGAAATTTCCGGTACATTTTTTTGGAAATTTTTATCGAATTTAATCACTTATGACTATTCTTATGACATCGACAATCAATATTTAACAACTCGATATCAATTAGTCTCGGAATTACAGATTTTTTTCATCTGCCAAAGCCAAAAGAACAGCAAATGAAAATGTCTTCAAAAAAAAAATCTGCGGGTGGCTGCATCTTCCATACAGCCGTAATTTTACGTGGATACGTCTGTGGTCTTCCCTTTCCTTCACTGAACACAATAGTTTTTCATTATTTATATTTCAGAAGTGTTAAAAGGGTTTACGTTAACTTATCTCCCAGCTGAGTTTTTGAGGAATATTTCCGAATCTGAAGGACATAGCAAAATTTTCGTAATTACATTTGTTGCAGCTCTCAATCGGGTCTACAAAAAAGGTTATAATAAAAATTTTGCTATCTTCGACACCGGCAATTTATCGACAAACTGTCGACATACTGTTCGCTGGGATGAAAATATAGACGTATCCAAGTCAAAAATTTTGAGTTGACGCAAGAACAATAATGGTAGATTCATCAACTCGTCATGATAAGACGTTTTTTATAATCACGATACGATTGAATTATGTAGAATCAAAGTCCCTTAACAAACGTTCAACATATTTCATTCATAACGAAATCATCACATTCTTAACATTTACCCACCCTTGGGAATTTTAACACGGATCCAAAATTTGATTTATTTCGTGTAATAATAACTAACTGTCAAGCTTTTGGCGACCAGCGCTAAGGATCCCTTAAAATTGTCATTTATTTCTAAAAAAAACTAGAGAATTTTCTAGAAAAATCTGGAATTTGCTATAAAAATCCAGAATTTTCTCGAAAATTCTAGAATGTCCTAGAATTCCGATAGATGGCGCCACTATCGACAGGGAACCATAAGGACTTTTTCCCGAAATGCCCCCCCATAATGAAAACAGACGTATGCACGTCAAAAATTCTGAGTTGACGCAAGAACAATAATGGCAGATTCATCAACAGGGAGAACGGGGCGAAACCCACCTAGAAAATACATCTAAAAACGATCTCATCTACATACATCAAAGGTCGCTCAATGGGTCCATTTAGGCATCACAGACTTTGAAGTTTCAGGGATGTCCCCCTTAAGCCTTCAATTTTCGCAATGATCCCACGTTTTTTAATTATTTTGTCTTCAGAACAACTGGCATGGCTGGCAGCATCACAATGAATGGGCACGAGCGGGATCTGAGTACCTTCAGAAAGCTCTCGGCCTACATCATGCAGGATAATCAGCTCCACGGAAATCTAACGGTCGACGAGGCCATGAAAGTGGCAGCCAGTCTCAAGTTGAGCAGTAAAGTGCCTAAAGCTGAGAAGGAAGAAGTTGTGAGTAGAATAAAATACAGAGGCTTTATATGAAATACCTCACGGCATATGAGATACCCGGATGCTTAGTTCCGTGGGCTTCTTATAAGATATCTACACGGAGAGAAATATTCAATAAAAATTACGTATCATTTTCGTAATTCCGGGGCGAAATGTGGTTGTAGGAAATTTTACGGAACTGTCACAGAATTTTTCCAGAGCGGTCCTCAATTTATATCTGAGTCTCCTGTGAAAAATTACAATACCGTCACTTAAATTTTCTGAGTCGATTCCGTAATCGGTGAGCGAATTGTGAGTTCCGTAATTTTTACTGAACAGTCATGCCGTCGAGATTACACGATAAAATTTGTGGATAGATCATTACGGCTCTCATTACGGTCAGAAAAAACATCGAAAGTTTTGGAATCGTCGCAATCTCGAAAAACATGGGATCGGTGCATCTCGTGACGATTTTGGGAGGACTTATTTTGCCTGGGTCATAACGTAAATAAGTGCTCACAAAATCGTGACGAGATGCAGCGATCCAATGTCTTTCGAGATTGCAACGATTCCACAACTTTTGATGTTTTTTCAGACAGTGATGATCTATCCAAAAAAAAACATCGTGTAGTCTCGACGGCATCACTATTACTGAACATTTCTCTCCATGTATTAACGAATATTCATTTGGTCATATTCAACTCGCCCATTCGTTAATAGTTAACAAATGTCGTTTGGAATAAATGAACCAGTCTATCAGTGCAACTCGACGAATTCGAAGAATTTAATGATAAATGTGTGATAAATTTGCAATTACAGATTCAAGAAATTCTCGAGACCCTCGGTCTTGCCGAGCACCGACGCACAATGACCTCAAATCTATCTGGAGGTCAGAAAAAACGTCTCTCCATAGCCCTGGAGCTGGTCAACAACCCTCCAATAATGTTCTTCGACGAGCCCACAAGGTAAATACCTGCACAAGTGCTTTATCTAGTCCATAAACAGCGGTGATGCTATTCAATTTAAATGCACATACGTTTGACCCCAATGCCTTTTGTCTTTCAACCAGTCACATTTTTTGTCGGCTTCCATTCTTTTCTTCGTTATTCTATCTTTTTTGTTACGGCGAGTTTATTGGACGGAACGTCTGTGGGGACGTGACACAGTAGAAATACGAAAAAACCAGAAACATCGTGACGGAGAAAGCGATGATACACACGTACCAGTTTTTTATTCTCATTTTTTTATTCTGCCGTTTTTTCTCTGGTTCTAGTTCTTTTTCGTGACTTTCACTCAGTTGGAATTAGCTCGAGTAGGTTTATTTGGTGATGTTTATGGGATGTTTGGAGAGTTTAGAATTGGTAGGAGTAAAAAAAATTATTGCGTTGTCAAAAAGGTTATTCCTTTGATTTTTTCTAGAGTTCTTTTTCTTCAATTTGAAAAGGCTTTCATTTATTCATTTATTTATTCATTCAGTTATTTATTTATTTATTTATTGAAGCACGAATCCAATAGCCGAAGCAAAAAATTCAAATGGGTTGTTGGTCGAACCAACAACTTCCCGACCAATTAGCTTTCCTTCATTCATTAGAATCAAATTTTTCTATATATTCTATTGAGACATTTTATTTTATTTTTCTTTATTCTCCATTGAATTTCCTCGGCTCAAATTTTGTAAGTTTTCTTTTGTTTAATGTTCTTAATGAAAAAAATTGAAAAATAGAATTAAAAAAATAATAATAATGAAGAAAATGACCTATATTGAAAAATCTCGAAAAAGTTTCAAATTTCAAAAATTTATGTTTGAATTATTTCGAAACCGCTGAGACGATTTTGCTGGAGTTTCACTCCAGTCTTAATCATACAAAGTTGCATCAATTATGATAACGAGAAAGATTGGTCCGAATAAAACGGTAGATCTATAATAATCTTCGAATGCCAGTTTAGCTTCTTTTTTGGATTGAAAGAAATTATTTACTTCAACAGTAAAATAATTTATCTCCTCGATTTATCTGATTTTTTCGGTATTTTAAACAATATTTGTTTATTTCCCGAATATCGGACGCAATGGCTTGTAGGAAAAATTGTATAAAGTCTTGTTCATAACTCAGAAAAATCTCTTCTATTTTTTTTCTACCCCTCTAGCCCCCGGAATAATCCCCACCAAAAAAAAATTATTGTTCAATTTGCTCAAAACGTCTGCAATCTAATTAATCTATGGAAGTGGTCCGAACAAAACGGTATATCTGTAGTAATCTTCGAATGCCACATCAATCATGTCTCTGGATGGACGACCTACCATTCGGGCCTTGAAAGCAGTATCTCGAGACTTTCGAGCTGAACTGGTTCTCGAGGCCTACACACCACTTCCTGCTCCTTTTTTCACTGTCAAGGACATTCGCCCGTCTTACCATTAAACCATAAAATAATTCTGTCAATAAATATTCCACTGAATAAATGGAAATGTTGGTTGTTTTTTTAAGCGGATTGGACTCCTCCTCGTGCTTCCAATGCATTTCTCTCCTGAAAACATTGGCAAGAGGTGGAAGGACGATAATTTGCACTATTCATCAGCCCAGTGCTCGACTATTCGAGATGTTCGATTCTTTGTACACACTTGCGGAGGGTCAGTGTGTCTACCAGGGCTCCACAACGCAATTGGTGCCATTCTTGAGGTACCAGGGACTCAATTGTCCGAGTTATCACAATCCCGCATCGTTTAGTAAGTTTACACAATTTTTAAAAAAATTTCAAGTCTAACCACTGCAATCAGGTCCTCGCATGCAATTCTTCTATTGAATAAAATTATAAAATAAGGTAAGTAGGTCAATTTCTGGACGGGGGTTAGTTTTAGTTCTCGTTCTATTATAGGCGTTATAGTTCTATTGAAAATTGAAAATTTGATGGAAAAAGTAAGGGGGGCTTTTAATTTCAGTTTAATTATTCTATGGAAATTAATAGAGGTCAGAAAAATTCAGCGTAATTTGGTACTGAATAAGCAAGTTTTCATTCAAATTTGAAGTCAGTTGAGGAATTCTCAGATTCCTACTGCTCAAAAATTTGAAATTTCACGGAATTTTCAGTGAAATCTAAAATTTTATGATCTTCCCCTCTCAATTGAATGCAATTTCACTCAACTATACATTAAAAATCAATTCTCTTTTCCAACAGTAAGAAAAATAATACAGACGTTTTCAAATATCTATAACCCGTTGAATTTTAACTTAATTCTTAAAAAAAAGAGAACTTTGATAATAATTAATCAAGAATTAGTAAAAAATCAACGCTTCTTAGAAATTGTCATCACATCTCTGTTCCATTGAAATTTCAAGGAATCAACTGTTCATGGCATTTCAATTCTTTTTCTGGATAAGAAAATCAGGAAAACAATGCAGAGGTTTTCACATGCCTATAACTTATTGTTTTTTTAATCATTATCGAAATGAAAAAATGCAATTTAATCAATAAATTTGATTAATTTTGATTTCCTTAATTATAATATTTAAAAAAATCCTACCGTTCAGCAAAGATTATCCAATGAACGATCCAATGAAGTTTAACTAATGAACGGGCTCTGTTCTAGATACTTTATGGAGCAATCTATCTTGTTACATGAAGCAATTATTTAGTATCTCTCTATATAAATAAAAAAATAAGGCGAAAAATTCAGGGGACGTTCAAATTCAGGGGACGCTGGATGCCTATACGGGGGTTCCTATATGGGGAGGTGCCTGTATTTATAAGGGATGTCTATATGAGGGGGTGGTCATAAAGGGGATATCGATATTTATGAAGGATTACTATATTAGGGGGTGCTCATATGGTAGATGTTTATGGGTACGAGCGAAGCGAGCGGGGGGATTGTAGGTCTAAATACCCAGTTGAGAACATCCAAAAAAAAAATCCACGGCTAAAATGACCAAAACAAAAATATTAAAAAAAACCAACGAAAAAAACCCCAAACCAAAAGAAAAACAAGCAAAAAAGTCCAAAATATCCACAAAATAAGAGGAAAATCTTTATTACGCAACAATTTACAAAGAAGTATTGTACGAAATGTTATTAAGATAACCAACAACATCATCAACAGAATAATCTTGAACAACGCGATTAAGACGAACATCAATATCAAAAACGGAACACTGACTGTTTTGACTGTTTGGTCAAATAAAGTTCCAAACAGTTCAAAACAATAAAATTGGACTACCTTGAAACTGGCATCTAATGTGAGCGGATATATTACCATTGGATATTCTTGCAATTGGATAATTTCAAATTGGATATTTTAATATGGACATTATTTACTGGAGCTTCCCGACCGGGTATTTAGACCGGCTACCAGCGGGGGGGCGAAGCCCCCCCCCGGGTTGACGAGCGGAGCGAGCAAGGGGCGAAGCCCCCTAGTGAAATAATATAATTCTAGCTGTAATAATTCATGGTAGAAATGTCATCAAACTGTGTTAGATGTTCCTTTATTATTTATTTATTTTTAGTTTCATTATTTTCAAAAATAAATGAAAGAATAAAAAATACAACGAAATACACTAAACTTAATAATGCGTGCGGCAAGCGCTCAGTCCTTTTCTAGTGATAATAAAAATTCAAATTATCAAAGTAATTCAATAACGTCTCGTTATCTAGTTATCGAGGTCTCGTGTGGCGAATACGGTGACAACATCTCCAACTTGGTGTCAGCCATAAAGAATGGAAAACACGATATCCGCGAAGGCTATCCATTCCCAGAGTCGAAGGCAGAGAACTTGAATAATGCCATTCAAGTGGTTAATGGACTCTCTAAGGATGCCGAGGCTATTGGGGCGCAAGAAGTCCTTACGGATAAAAATGATGTTAGCAATATTAAGGAGAAGTACTCGGACAAGACGACCAATGAGAATATCAATAACGGAGCTATTATCCATGGCTTTGCTACCAATGATATTGCTAAACACAGTCAGTATTTTTTTTTATTTTTCAACTGGAGATGAGTAGATTCACACCAAATCCGCAGGCCGAAAGAGTCGATGCTGGGGATTTTTGTTTCATTTTTTTCTGAAAAGATGGTGATTAGACAAAAATTTATAAAAAAGAAAAATTGAGAACTGTTGATAATTGAGGGAGTTATGATTTTTTTTAATTGCTAGTTTTTGTTCAAATTTTTTTTCCAAATAGGCCTCAATATTTCTGGGGGGGGGGGGTTCAAGCTATCAAANGGTTCAAGCTATCAAATCGCCCTTTGCCACACTCAAAGAACATGGAAAACCCTTCTAAATGAGACGTCATACATTATCTTCATTATCGTCAGATTGACGGAGTTTATACGAGAAAACTTTTTTTTTTCAATCGTTAATTACTAAATAAGCTATTTTTTTTTAATCTGAAATCTTCACCAAAAGTTGTCAATAAAATTAAAGGAATTTTGACGCCAATTAGAGTTTGTCTTTCGCCCTAGTTCGGCGGTTATTAATTTTTTCATTGAGGCAAGAATTGAAAATGAGCGAAAATGGCTATGATGTATGCAGTTATCCCCCAAATGAGTGAATATTAGATTCAATAATTAAAAATGAGTTAATTCAATTAGATTCTCAATTACCAACAAGTGAAAGCTCTTTGAAAAATTTATTTCCATTGCATAATTAGAGAAATAATAATTTTTCACCCAAGAAATCATACTGAAGATGAATAATGGAAGATATAATGAGTCTAACCTCCACAATTTCCTAATAATTAATTGAATATTTACTTATTTGGGCGATAATTGCATGAATAATAGCGATTGTCGGCCATTTTCAATTCTTGTTTCAATGAAAAAATTAATAACCGCCGAATTACGACGAAAGACAAACTCCAATTGGCACCAAAATTCTTGACATTTTATGGATAATTTTTGGTGAAAATTTCAGATTTAAAAAAAATTAGCCTTTTGAGTAATTAACGATTAAAAAAAAAATTTTCTCCTATAAATCCCGTCAAACTGAAGATAATGTTATGTATACCGTCTCATTTTGAAGAGTTTTTTATGTTCTTTGAGTGTATCAATGGGCGAATTGATAGCTGGAAACCGCGCAGAGATATTGGGGCCAATTTGTAAAAAATTTTTTTTGGACAAAAACTAGCAATTTTCAAAAAATCATAACTCCCTCAGTTCTCCATATTTTGCAATTGTTATTTTCCCAAAATTTTTGTTTAATTGTCATTTTTTCAAAAAAAAATTGAGACAAAAATCCCCAGCATCGACTTTATTAGCCTGCTGAATTGGTGTGGATCTGCTCAGATAAAACAAGGCGTTGAATATAAAAATAAAGGAATTTATGGTGTGTTAATTTGCATAAATTTGATGTCTAGATGAAATAGTGATACCAATAGAGGAAAAAAAAGACAATATCGATGCAAGTGTTGGACTGTTGGACGAGGATGCAGTGAGGCAACCAGAGAGGTATCCAACGTCAGAGTGGACCCAATTCTGGGTGGTTTTGAAGAGAACGTTACTCTTCAGTCGACGTGACTGGACTCTCATGTATCTTCGACTGTTTGCCCACGTCCTCGTGGGCTTCCTGATCGGTGCACTTTATTACGACATTGGGAACGACGGTGGCAAGGTCCTGAGTAATCTTGGGTTCCTCTTCTTCAATATGTTATTCCTCATGTACACCTCGATGACGATAACAATTCTATCCTGTGAGTACCTTGAGACTTGTCGTTTATTTATTTATTTATTTTTAAAATTCGTCGATTATATTGTTTCCTAGATGATGAATGGTCTATTTCTATCTTAACCCTGGATTGATCATCGTATGAGGGAAACCTCATAGGTCACCCTATGAGGGACTGGCTAATGGGAAAAATTCAAAAAAATTTGACTGTATCAATTGAAGTGTCTGAAAAATTATAGTATTTTTTAGAACAACATATTTCCCAAAATTCCTAAAGAAAACAAATTATTTCGGACAGATGAATTCAGTAGTGAAGTGGTAAAACGGTTTAAGTCGACTTATCTCTTACTTGAGTTTTTGAAGAATATATCTCCGAATCTAAAGGAGATAACGAAATTTTCGTAATAACCTTTTTTCTAGAGCAAATTGAGTGCTGCAAAAAAGGTCGTGACAAAAATTTAGCTATCTCCCTTAGAGTCAGAGATATTCAGGAAAAATGGCCAATAGTTAAAATCGACTTGAACCGTTTTACCACTTCGCTACTGAATTATTTCTTCCCATGTTAAATGAAATTACCCATGACGCGACGTTGCCGGAAACTCGCTAAACGCGGCCGCGCAGTGTAGAGTGAATTCGGCAACGCTAAAGCCTAAGTAACACGGCGGGGAATCCCCGCGGAGGTGACGCAACTCGCAGGGTCGCGTGTGGTGAGCAGACTAGGGTTAACTGGGGTATCTTGTACCCATTGGACCGTACAGTTTTTTTAAATATAAAAAGACATTAATTTCTCATTAAATGCATTGTATATCCCTCTTGTGACAATGGGTAAATTATCGAAATTATTCGAATTCACTGGCCAGTTTCGAATTGTAGAAATTAATATCTATGAATATAGTTAAATTATAGCCGAATCGATCGGTGACTGAAGACATTACATTGATTTTTTTAAAAGGGTTCATGAAAATTCCACTCTGTTGGCCATGATTTTTAGGATGATAGGCAATTGGGAAAACTGAGGAGAATAATTGACTCATCTATTCCGTAGAAATTATTTCAAATGTATTCCCTCACTCGTAAAAAACAGGAAATTAGTTCCAAATTTATTCAATAATTCCATAGGCTGGATTTCAGAAACATTTGTAGGATAATGTAAATTAAGTTGTGATAAAGATTGACATAATCGACTGATTTTATTATTTCTTCTAGTCCCACTGGAAATGCCTGTACTGATGAAGGAAAATTTCAATCGATGGTATTCCCTTAAATCGTATTATTTGGCTATAACTGTCTCGGATCTTCCGTTCCAGGTAAGGAACTCAGATTTTTTATTCATGCAATTAAATGTCTCAAATTAATCCATCAATTTCAATGAAACTATTATGATACTAGAACGATAAAAAAATTGTAGTTAAACTTTCTCAAATATTTCCGTAAACCATTGGCCCCAGCAGAGTTTTTCACAAAGCATTTTGTGAGTCCACAAAATTTCGCACTAAAAGGTTTGACCTAAAAATTCTCAAACCGCTTAAAATTCAAGGTATTTTCCTGTTGAGTTACCCCTTAAAGATCATTAATTTAATTTCAATTGTGGAAAATTACACAAAAAGAGATTATTTCAACAATAGTGATTGTTGTTATTGTGATCGCTGAAGAGAAACTATTCAGTCATTGATATTGGCGTTTTTTCTGTTATCTGTGTCAAATTTATTAATTGGTTTAGATAGGAACGAGACTAAACATTAATCGAGTCATGAGCCTGATGCAGCTAAAATAATTATCGAAACATCGCAAACTGTCAATCAGATGAATGTTATTTGCATTTTCCTCCAACATTCCTTGATATTTTTGGATAAAACAAAGAAAGGTTTGATTTTCAGGAAAATGTCACCGATGTTCAAAAAACATGTCCCTGATTTTCAGAAATTTATCCCCAATTATTAGGGATTCGTTATTCTCAGTTTTAGTGATTGCAACATTCTAAGAATTCAGTGTTTTTGTCACCAATTTTAAGTGACTTTATCACTAATGTTCAAGGACATCATCACTAATTTTTAAAGTAATGTCACTCAATTTCAGAGACCCATGTCTAATTTTTAGGAATCTATCACTAAATTTCAGTGATAAAAACCACTGATGATCAGGATTATTCTAGTCACTGTCCAGTATCTGTCTATATTATAAAAATCCAAGTCGACTTTTGGTGATGAAAATTTGGTACTCGAAATTAAGACTGCAAAATTAAGGGTCAAAATAAGAGCCATGAGGGTAAAAATAAGGGTCAGTAAGGTCAGAGTAAGCGTCCAAATAAGGGTCGTGAGGGTCAAAAATCAAGGATCAGAAATTAAGGGCCACCAAGGTCAAAATAAGGGTCAGTAGGGTCAGAGTAAAGGCCATGAAAGACAGAATAAGGGTCGCAAGGGTCAGAGTAAGGGTCCAAATAAGGATCGTGGGGGTCAAAAATCAAGGATAAAAAATTAAGGGCCATGAAGGTCAAAATAAGGGTCAGTAGGGTCAGAGTAAGGGCCACGAAGAACAGAATAAGGGTCAGAGTAAGGTCCAAATAGGGATCGTGGGGGTGAAAAACCAAGGGTCAGAAATTAAGGGCCACCAAGGTGAAAATAAGGATCATGAAGGTCAAAATAAGGGTCATGAAGATCAAAACAAGGGTCAGTAGGGTCAGAGTGAGGGCCATGAAGGTCAGAATAAGGGGCACAAGGGTCAGAATAAGGGTCCAAATAAGGGTAGTGGAGGTCAAAAATCAAGGATCAAAAACTGGGGGACACCAGGGTCAAAATAAGGGCCACGAGGGGTATAATAAGAGTCACAAGTATTTGAATAAGGATCACGCCGGTCATATGGGGGTCATGTGGGCCATAGGGAGTTGGCGCCCCCTAGTTACCAATAATTGCCAATAGATTTCTGAAAACCAGTGACATGTCCCAAGAAACAGTCGCATATCTCTGAAAATTAAACTTTTTTTCTCAGTAAAACAAACAACAACATAAAACCCGAAAGCCTGAAAACCCTAAATATCTAAATTCCAGGCAATCTTCTGCATAATGTACTTGGTAATCGTCTACTTCCTGACGAGTCAACCCCTGGAGCTGGCGAGATTCTCGATGTTCCTGGGTGCCTGCCTCCTGATCTCGTTCGTCGCCCAGTCAGTGGGTCTGGTGGTGGGTGCAGCCATGAACGTTCAGAACGGAGTATTCCTGGCTCCAGTGATGTCAGTTCCCTTCCTCCTCTTCTCCGGGTTCTTCGTGAGCTTCGACTCGATTCCAGTGTACCTCAGATGGATAACTTACCTCAGTTACATCAGATATGGCTTCGAGGGCACAGCCCTAGCCACTTATGCCTTCGATCGTCCAAAATTGAAGTGTCACCAGCCCTATTGTCACTTCAAAAATCCCACAACGACGCTTGAAGAGCTGGACATGTTGAACGCTGATTTTACCCTCGATATCCTGGCCCTCATCCTTATCTTCGTTGTCCTGAGAGTCGCGGCCTACATGTTCCTACGGTGGAAACTTAAATCCGCTCGATAATCCCTTTTCCCAACATTGAATAACATTGAACAAATTAGAGCTTAATTAATGCTTAATTTTTTTATCAAGATTTTGATCAAGAAAATCTTAGAATGGATGCACTGAGGGAAAACTAAACAATGTTTTTGAACAAGTTTTGTATGCAGAAAAAAATCGCATGTGGATGGTTTCCAGGAGGGAAATCGTTTCAATTCACGCCCGAAAAAAATTTGTAGAAAAACCTAACGAATTCGATAGAAATTTCCATGGGATTTCCATGGAAAATAAAACATTATTCTGGAGCTATTATTATTAAACAAACAATAATAGTTTAATATTATTATTAAATTATTATTTGTAATTGTTTTTGACTGATTCTATAGAAAAATTCACCGCTTTACTGTCTATTTTTTTATAGAAAATGTCCAATAGCAACTGTTTTATGGAAAACATAAATAGAATTTCATTTTTCTATAGCTTTCTTATTGAGAAATTTTCTATAGGAATTTCTCGACGGGAATTTTCCAAGTTTTTCTCACTCTTTTCATTAAAAAAAAAATCAAAGTAAATAACTTGGAAAATTTGGGCCGATAAATTTCTGTAGAAAATATCTCAATAGAATTAATTGTGTAGAAATATTGAGTCCTACAAAATACAAAATGTTTCATTGTAAAATTCTGTTGAAAAACAAAATGCACAAAATTTTAATAATTATGAATTATGAATAATTATGACTAATTCATGCGAGATGACCTCTCCAGGATGAGAGTAGCTATGATAAAGTGAAGAATCGAGAGATATTTTGTCCCAACTTGCATTATTGCTATCATATGGTGATTATTATTCGATTTGAGAATTAATTTCTTACGTCTGAGCCTTGGATATCGAAAACAAACAACTACTCTCCTTTGTTTCGAACAAAATGAAATATTTTCGGGAGCCAAATATGGATGATAGTATAGAATAATGAATCACTCTAGAAAAACTTTTACAGCAGATTTCCATACTTGAGTATTCTAAGAATTCTGGAATATTTTTTGAAATGTCAGGGAATTTCGAAGGATTTCATGAAATCTTCAGGAATTCAAAGATGGACAAGGAATATTGGAGAAATAATCACGACGTTGAGTTCACTATGAACATTTACTCAACTAATTCAATTAAATTTACTATTGGATTTTACCGTTGTACTGGATTTCAATTAACTGTTGAAATTGTCATAGTGAATTCAACATCGTAACTATTTCTTCAATATTCCCTGACGTTTTGTGAATTAATTAACATATGAAGATGAGAACAATCATTGACATTTCAGAATGCTCTAAGATTGGAAAGATTTAAAAAACATTCAGAGGACTTTCCAGTATTCAAAAGAAGTTCAAAGGTTTTCAACGGCACTTTGAGAAATTTCATTCAGTTTCAAGCGATTGGAGTGACATTCCAAGATTTAGATCAGTTCACATATACGTAACAGATGTATCCTTTTCTCTGCATATTATGGTGAAATCGAAGTAAAATTTCTGGGAAAATTTCCTAGATAATTTTCAAATTGCGATTTTTCAATTCACACAAGACTTGTTTGAGAACATGTTTTCTTTTCAGTGTGGAGTCGCTGTCGTTGCGAATACTGAAGTGAGAAAAACTCATAGAGTTCATGGTACGGGTTGATTATCGATTAATTAACGTGTGATTGATGATTGATCGATTAGCTCGTTTTTAACCTCTTAAAATAATGTAATTTATTTTATTTTATTGTTAAATTTACTTGTTTAAGACTCGATGATTAACATATTTAGATTGTACAAGAGTCAGGGTATAATTGATAGATTTTTTAAGGGAATAATTGTTTAAACACTCGGATTAATGATTTAGTTCAGTTGAACTCGAAGGGAGAACGAGTAGAGAAATTTCGTGCAAATTATTTTGAATTCTTCATTTATTTTTCCGAGTGTAATGAACTAACTGCACAAGTGCCTTGATGCTTTCCTTCAGTTTCATCAGTTAAATTCAGACAATAAACGATCGGCAATGGTTTTTGATTCGTCGATGGCTGTGAAGGGCTCTGAATTACAAATATTCCTAGGGAATCTAAATTAAAATGAAGGAAGAAAATTCCCATACAGTCGCACATAATTCTCTTGCCAATATCTGAAACATTCAGGAGATGATATTCGAACCAAATGCATTGCACTCATTTCTATAACATCATTGTCAATTTTCTTACGATTTTGTATTGAAATACGTGATTGGAACAGTTATCAATTATTATCGTTACCAATTATTCACTGGAACTATTCAGTTGATTTTGGGATGATGCAAAATTGTATTTATGAAATTGTTATTGTTTATGCTTATTCTATGATTTAATCAGAGGAGTTATTGGTAGATTTGATTGGACGCATTCACGAGAATTCTCATCAGGATGGTGAACACGTTTTTACGGACAATTTATCCTCCACGAGCAATTACTGTATTTTGTATAGGATATTTGTTACGAATAAAGCTTCGAATTTTTGGAAAATATAAATATGTTTTTTTATTTCACAACATCCAAAACATGATTGAAATATTAAAAAACTTTTTAATTTTCGTAATGGTCATTAATTGATATCTAAAGATAATGATTATTGATTTTAGTGTTGGATAATTATTGATTATCAATTGTTTTATCATTTTTTCATCGAATTGTTTTTTTCATTCAAGAGGAATATTTCTGTGGGGATTGGGTAAAGTAGGATAAGTGCAATTTCTTCGAAAATATTTTTGGTTAACCCTAGATTGGTCATTCTATGAGGGAACTCCCGCCCCGCGTCGTTTTTCTTTAATTACAATTGACTGGCTAACCGGAACAATTAAAAAAAAAATTGACGTTGTCAATTGAAGTGTCTAAAAAATTGTAGTAGTTTTCAGAACGACATATTTCCCAAAATTCCCAAAGAAAACAAATTATTTCGAACAGATGAATTATTTTTTCCCATGTTAAATGAAATTGCCCGTGACGCGACGTTGCCGAGAACTCGCTAAACGCGCCCAGGCAGTGTAGAGTGAATTCAGCAACGCTGAAGCCTAAAGAACACGGCGGGGAATCCCCGCAGAGGTGACCAAGTCGCAGGATCGCGTTTGGTGGCCGGACTAGAGTTAAATCGCTTCTCAACAGTTTGTGGAAGCGATGTGGCAAAAAAAACTCTTTTCGAAAAAAATACACTTATCCTAGTTTACCAATTCACGACAGATTTCAATTTCTATAATTTTGATTAATCGCAATTTTCGAGACCTTTCAAAACATTTTTTTGAGAATTTAAATAATTCCCCAAAAAGTTGCAGTTCCGTTACTCTTGAAATTATCCCGGAAATGGGGGTGTCCAGAGAGAAGAAAAAAATCAGGAAAAAAATCGTGGGAAAATTCATGTCGAGGGAACTCTATAGAAAAATATTTTCAGTTCTAATAGACCGAGAGATTCAAAATTCTGGGGCATTTCCCGATAACTTCGTTGCATACAAACGAATATGTGAGTTTTCACAGGCTAAAAAAATTTTTCTTACAAAACTTGATGCTTTGGATTGTACGCAGGGACGTTTGAGAGAAATACTCTGATTCATTTTGAAGTTCGAGGGAGGCTTTGTAAGCGTTCAAATTTAAGTTTTGGATTTTTTGTGTTATATCGACCCAGTATGATCCAAAAAGTCCAAAAATGCAATTTTTAGACCTCGTCCGTACGTGTGTGTACTGTATATGTATGCACGTGTGTGATAAAGTTTTTCTTCAATCTTCGCTAATGAACTCGTGCTTCGCACTTGTGATTTTTTTTTTAATTTGACGATTTCGTTTGTAGGTAGGGGACCATGAGGAAAATACCTAATTAATGTTGGCGCTCAAGTGGTATTCGGAAGAGAATTTTTCTATCTAATATATATCAGTAGCGAAGTGGTAAACCGGTATAAGTCGATTTTGACTATTAGCCAGTTCTCAATAAATACCTCGGAATCTAAGGGAAATAGCGAAATTGTTGTAATTTCCTTTTTTGTAGCTCTCAATTTGCTCTACAAAAAAGTTTATGACAAAAATTTTGCTATTTCCCTTAGATTTTGAGATATTCATTGAAAACTGGGCACTAGTCAAAATCGATTTATACCGGTTTACCACACGGAGAGAAATGTTCAGTAAAAATTACGGAACTCACGATTCGCTCACCGATTACGGAATCGACTCAGACAATTTAAGTGACGGTATCATAATTTTTCACAGGAGATTCAGATAAAAATTACGGAACGCTCTGGAAAAATTCCATGACAGTTCCGTAAAATTTCCTACAACCGCATTTCGCTCCGGAATTACGGAAAAGATACGTAATTTCACTACTGATATATATTAATAAAATATATATTAATATGAAAAATGACCAGTGGAATTATCAAAAATTATCAGTTGAATACCGTGTTGACTATATAAAATCACAGTCGAATAGTGCAATTCTATTGGCTGAAACTTGGATGGGAAAAATTCTCGATGTCATTCTCTTCTGATTGATCCGCGGGACGTCGAATACCGCAATTCTATTGTTCGGAAGGGAGATGGGGGAAATAATCAATAGAATAAATCGCATAAAAAAATCAAATTGAAATAAAAAATGAATAAAAATAAATAAACAAATTCTCTCGATTTGTTACACAAATTAGTTTCTATTGAACATTTTCTACTGATAAAAACGCAGAAAAGGAACGAATTGTTCTTAATAAAATTGGCAAAAAACAAATGGACTTTCTCATGAAACTTGAATAGAATTTCAATAAATTTGTCCAACTCATCTCGTATTATCACAGTATTTACATTCTAATTAACAAATTTCTTCGAGTTCACTCGCTTCGACCAAAATTCCTCGACACTCCTCTCTAAGCCCAAAAGACACTCGCAGAGCAATCCGCGAACCCATTGAACTCATCTCGCCCTCTGACCATTTCCACAAAGAATTCCACGAAAAATTGCAGATGGATAAATTCATAAATAAATTCTCATGAATCACTCGACAATTGTAAGTTTCCACCGAGAGTAGCAATGCAGCTCACGTGCTTACCGCATGCAAACAGCGAGAGTCAAAAAATACAAATGACCCTGAAACAATTTTTTTCCGTGATCGCAATTATTTTAAATATTCAACAGTTACGACGAACATGCCCAATGACCACTGAATTACCCATTGAACTCTTGTTTTTATCACAAACAAAAAAACAGGAAGCAGTATCATCATTCTGTGTTCAAACACTGTAATTTCGATTACTTCATTCTTATGATTTTAATGCCTTTTTTACGCTTAGTTCGTTATTATCGTTCATTCGAGAACTAACGAGAGAATTAATGCCCCTATTATTGGATTTCACAACTGTTTTACCTAGAAATGGGAATATATTACGAATCTCAACATGCATTAACATGAGCAATCAGTTGTTGTATACAATTTATTTATTTAAAAAAATGTTGAATGAAGATTCGATGAAAATTTGGATGAGCGATTTTTTTCCATGCAACACTG